GCTCCGATACCACATGTTGATCAATTCTTAAACATAAAATATAAATTAGGGATTTAATCATGTGTACCTGATAATCCTGTAAACGTAGTTAGGGATGAAGCCATGATTCTCACGCAGATCGAGTTCCCGTTTAGGGTGTATCGTTATGATGGCTAAGGTGAGGATGAGACTCACGAGAATAGAGAGGCAGAGAGGAGGCGTAAGATTGGTGTGTTAATCTCTGCCTAATGACCTCTATATATATACACCCAAGGGGAAACCCTAATTAGGTCATAAGGGTAATTACGTCCATCGAATAATTACAAATTAAGTACGTAGGGTATTTATTAGGTCAATAATCAATTAATTAGATAAATGATAACTCAGGCCACATAATAAAATCGTGTCTAACACAGCCTCCATAGTTGAGTAGCAACTAAGGTTTGTTTCGCACTTCTCCATGAAATAGCTCCATCGGAAAGCATAAAAATGTTTCCCGAAGTTGACTTACGAGAATCCACACAACCAGCAAAGTCTGAATCTGAATATCCTTTCACTTCTAAATTCTCTGATTGCTTATAAGTAAGCATATACTCCCTCCGTCCCTAAATATTTGCCACACTTGTATTCCCGAGGTAAAATATCAAGTTTTTTCAATTCATTTTATTTACATATTGGTATAGAAATAAAAATAAAATTTACATATTAAAAAACTACATGAAAAGTTCTTTGAAATAAGAGGTGTCAATAATATTTTATTTTATCAAATAACCAATGAAAACGTAGAAATAAACAAAAGTTCCCACGACTGCTGAAAAACAAAAATTGTAAATATTTTGGGACGGAGGGAGTAATTCTTAGTTCCCTTAAGATATCTTAAGACTTTTTTTGCAGCCCTCCAATGTTCAAGGCCTAGGTTACTTTGATATCTTCCCAACATTCCAACAGCAAATGCTATATCGGGTCTTGTACAAATCTGAGCATACATTAAGTTCCCCACAACAGAAGCATATGTAATGTTTTTCATTTGCTCCCTTTGCAAACTATTTTTAGGACACTGGTCCAAATTCAATTTATCACCTTTCACAATAGGTGCTATACTTGGTGAACAATCTTTCATCCGGAATCTCTCTAAAATCTTGTTGATATAAGTTTCTTGGGATAAACTTAAAGATCCTTGAGATCTATCCCGGTGAATCTTGATGCCTATAACAAAAGAGGCATCACCCATGTCTTTCATATCAAAGTTTTTAAAGAGAAATTGTTTGACCTCGTATAAGATCCCCTTATCGTTAGATGCAAGTAAAATATCATCCACATAAAGGATTAGAAAACATATTTTACTCCCACAAACCTTTTGGTATATACATTCATCCTTTATGTTCTCAACAAAACCGAATGATGAGATAACATTATCGAACTTTATATACTATTGACGGGAGGCTTGTTTCAGTCCATAAATGGACTTCTTTAATTTGCACTTTAAGTTCTCACTTTTACTAGAGGAGAATCCTTCGGGTTGCTTCATGTATACCTCATCCTCTAGATCACCATTAAGAAAAGCTCTTTTCACATCCATTTGATGTAACTCCATATCAAAATGAGCTATTAAAGCCAATATTATTCGTAAGGAATCCTTTCTTGACACGAGACTATATGTTTCTGAGTAGTCAACTCCTTCTATTTGAGTGAACCCTTTGGCAACGAGTCTAGCCTTGTATCTCTCAATATTGCCCATGCAGTCCCTTTTAGTTTTAAAGACCCATTTACAACCAATAGGTCTCACACCATCAGGCAACTCGACAAGATCCCAAACTTCATTTTTCTTGATAGAGTTCATCTCATCTTTCATGGCGTCATACCATAGTTTAGACTCTTTAGAACTCATAGCTTCCGAGTAGGATTCAGGATCATGTTCCAATTCACTGATGCAGTCAGATTCTTGTAGATACACAATATAATCATGAGGAATTGCTGATCTTCTTTCTCTAGTAGATCTCCTCAGTGGTTGACCATCATTTTCCTGAGATTCGGGTTGTTCATTATTCATTGAAACTTCTTCTTGAACAACCTCATTTATTGGATTATTTTGCATAAGTGGAGTATTGTCAGTTAATAGGTCAACACTCCTTTGAACTTCAGGAGCATTGTGAATGACAACTAGTCATTCACTTGAAGTATAAGGTTGATCCCTTATGGTGACTTTGTCCCGAAAATGATCACTCCCACTAATCAAGTCATTTTCAAGGAATTTAGCATTCCTTAATTCCACAATCCTAGTAATGTGTGATGGACAATAAAATCTATAACCCTTGGACTTCTCTGCACATCCAATGAAATACCCACTGATGGTCCTGGGGTCAAGCTTTTTTTCTTGTGAATTATACACTCTTACTTCACATGGACATCCCCATACACATATATGGTGCAAACTTGGTTTCCAACCCTTGAATAACTCAAAAGGAGTTTTTGAGACAGCCTTGGTTGGAACTCTATTTAATACATACGCAGCCGTTTTAAGAGCATCAATCCATAAAAACTTAGGTAGCTTAGAGCCACTAAGCATGCTGCGCACCATGTCTAGCAAGGTTCGATTTCTCCTTTCTGCTACCCCATTCTGTTGTGGATTACCAGGTGTCGTGTATTGGGCAACTATCCCATTATCTTGAAGAAACTTTGCAAATGGACCAGCCACTTGTCGTCTTCAGTGTATCTACCATAAAATTCACCACCTCTATCGGTTCTCACGATCTTGATGTTCTTACCACATTGTTTCTCCACTTCGGCTTTGAAAACCTTGAAAGCTTCCAATGCCTCGCTTTTATGATGAAGCATGTAGCGATGCATATATCGTGAGTACTCATTTATGAAGGTGATGAAATATTTCTGACCTTGTTCATCCATATCCGGGCAGAATATATCAGTATGAATGATTTCTAATATGGTCGAACTTCTTTTGGCACCTTTCTTGAACATGTTAGTTTGTTTGCCTTTGATACAATCTATACATGTTCCAAAATCAGAAAAATCTAGGGTGCCAAGTACCCCATCGGTTACTAATTTTTTAATCCTATTAAAGGAGATATGACATAGTCTTCGATGCCAAAGATTAGAGGAATTTTCATCTCTAACACATCTTTTATGAACAACTTGGCTGCTATGAAAAACACTATAAGTGGTGTCACTTTGTAAATCAAGGGAATAAAGATCATCACATAAAGTGCCATTTCCAACAAGTTTATTTTTATAGAATAATCTAAAACAAGAATTTGAAAAATTAAAAGAGTAACCAAATGGTACAAGTCTTGAAATTGAAATCAAGTTTCTAGAAAAACTAGGAATATAAAATGTTTTTTTCTAAACTTAATACATAACCACTTCTAAGAACTATAGTGCATGTTCCAATAGCCTTGACATGAGATGCAATCTTGTTTCCAGAATAGATGCATTGCTCAGGTCCCACTGGTTTCCGTAGGCTTGTCAATCCCTTTCTTTTCAATCCACTTTTTATACTTGATGCAGTCTTTCTTAATGTGTCCTTTCTTCTTACAGAAGAAACACTTGGATTCCTTTTTTATGTCCGCCTGAGGAGGTATCTTTCCCTTTCCTTTATTCTTTGTGTGAGAATACCTCTTTCCATGGCTAGCAACTAGTGCGAATTCACCTGCTTCCATCACCAACCGGCCCTCCTCTTGTACGCACATGGCCATGAGTCCATTGATAGACCATTTATCCTTATGTGTGTTATAAGAGATTTTAAAAGGGCCATACTGATGAGGAAGAGTATGCAGTATGAAATGAACTAGGAAAGTTTCAGACATGTCAACCTCAAGGGTTTTTAGTTGAGCCGCTATGTCTCTCATCTTGTTGATGTGATCTCCCACACCTCTTAAACCGGTGAGCTTTGCAGATGAGAACTTCATGATCAAGGTGCTGGCAAGTGCCTTATCAGAGGTCTCAAAATGTTTATCCAGAGCCTTCAGTAACTCCCTTACATTGTCATACTTCTCAATAGAGCCACGAATACCAGAAGGAATTTTGGTTTTGATGTATACAACACTCAAACGGTTTGACCTCTCCCAAACCTCATAGATGTTAGGCCCCCACTCCAAACAAATGGAAAGAAAAGGAAAAAAAGAGCACACAATTTTTAACGTGGTTCGGCACCTCAAGACCTACTCCACGACCCCCTCTGGGATAAAATCTCACTAGTAATTTTGCACGGAAAAATTACAAACCCTCTCCAATATTTGACACTCACAACCTAAAATCTAATACACAATTATATAGATTGAAGGATTGTGTTGTGTGATGGAAGCCTATATC